TATTTAAACGCTTGAACAATATACACTTGTTTAATCGTTCGTCAGAAATCAATGTCCTGTTTTCTTTAAGCGATTTTTTTTCTCTTAACATATGCATAGGGGGGGGGGGGGGATCATAATTCGACGAAGTATGGTAGCACTATGTTCGAATATTATGTTGTATATCCATATACATATGTACCAACAAAGAGAAATAATCTAGCTCGTGGATAGTATTATCTCATAAAGAACAGGACAATGGGTGTCTTCAACTTTATTCACGCCTGATTGCCACCGCTGTTTGGATGTACCTTATCCCAATATTTTCGAAGCTCATAATCATCTATAGAGGTTTTTCCCTAAATTATTCCGTTTCAATTTGTTTTCTAAATATTTTTATCGTTTTAAACACGATTGATATGTTTTTGTTTTATCTATATATAAAAAAATAAACACATTTTGCTTTTGTTATACAGCAATACACCGTTCTTTCCGTCACATTTCATGGCGTTCCTTAGTAAAATATAACAGGGTATACAGTGGTAGAAAATGTAGAGTAAAAGGACAACATTTCAACATTGCCTGCTTTGATAAGATATTACTGTAAGTTCAGAAATTATTACAAAAAAACATTTTTCATACTTCACGAGTAAAAAAGATTTTACTCAACCCATATTCAATATTAACCACAGATGAAAATAGTACTCACAACTTATCAAAAAACTCGTTTTTTCACATATGTTTAAATGCATTGTTATATATGTACGATATAATCTACACATTTATTTGTGAAATTTATGGGTACATGTCAAATCAGTACCTGGTCAATTTGGCACTTATATTGATTGATTTCGTGGCGGTCTTTTTTAATTGGTTGAGGAAGCCGGAGTGCCCGGAGAGAACCACCGACCTTCGGTAGGAAAGCTTACAATCCCAGTCAATTAAGATTGGAGTCGAGCGCGCCTGTCACGCGCAGGATTCGAACTCACAACCTCAGTGTTGACAGGCTAGCGACACAGTTGCCCACCTACTTATACCACTCAGCCACCGAGGCCCCTTCGGCACCTATAGAAAAGTCAATTCGGTCTCCATTTAAAGTCATTTTGGGTTTTGATAAGTAAATTCAGCACATAATACTTTTTACTTTTTCATGTTTTCCTATTTTTTTTGTTGTTTTTTGTTTTGGGATTAGTTTGTTCGATACATTAATTCATTTGGTAATTAAGTTGTTATTAACAAATATTTCAAGTTTCCTCAATGATCTATTAAGACTAGTCATGAGTGTATACATATAAATTATTCTCTGAATTTATTCTCCCTATGCATAAATGCTAAATTGTTTTTTTTTTCTCTAAATTATAAAGTGCGGTCTACAGAGAGATTAAGGGTATGAATCATTTCTTGTATACAAATAGCTGCAATTGACCGCATATACGTATACCGAAATCAGCTAATTTTAGTAAATTATCTTTATTTAATCCACCTTAATTTGTACTTTTTGTAAGTATATCCAGAAACCTTTACAGGAAAGGTGTGAGAAAAACCACTCAGTTAGAGTGGGTTTGTAAGGACTACACAAAGCAACAGAAGTTTAATCCAATCATGACGGTTTGATTTAATAATGTAATTTTGACACCTTGATATAATGAATTTCTGGAAGTAATAAAAAGATTAACCAATTGTTTTAATCATGTAATTCAATTTTAACACATTGATAATTAGATTATGTTTATTATTTGCAAGTGGACACCATATTAATCGACAATTCAAACGTCTCGATCCATTATTGGAGTGTATTCATGACCGCTATTAGGACCAACAATAACGTCGGTAAGCGCCTCAACCGATTGAGCGCCAACTTTGGAACAAGAGGACCAGTTCCATTCTATTAGCTTGTTCAGAAATGTTTGCAGAAGACGATGAATCTCATTTCCACTGAAAGCGGTACCAGAGGGTAAGCTTTAACGATAACAACCTAAAAAGAGTCGATAAGTTCAAGACAGTCTACAGCCTTTGGAATGACTGCAGTAAGTGTGCCAGTCCTTAACTACGTAAATGTGTTGCCATTTATGGTCCACCGGCAAAATGATAAAGTTTAATGTTGACTTAGTGCTATTTATTAAATGTACTAGTTTTGTACGACAGACAGCAACACACGACAGTCACTGCATTACGACTTCTGACTTGGGACAGGCACATAAATATATTGCGGGGTTAAAAATGTAAAAAAAAACTCAACTGCTTTATATGAACACTAGTGCTCCTTGAATATTAACTTCATATAAGACTATACAGCCGGTATTATATTAGATTGTGGGATGATATGATTTAAATATTATCAGGTTGAGTACAATCACCTTGATTTTAGCAGATATGAACATTTTTTATATGGTATAATATATTAACTTGTATCTGCGCATTTCAAGTTTGATTACAGTTGCTCCGAGGTGGGAATCATTGTTACAAAAACGTATATACCGGTAATAAATAAAATAATGTAATGTTAGGGCAAACAAATATGTATGTCTTGCATTGGTGAACATTGTTATAAACCATTAGATTTACCACAAATTTTGGTAATAGGTCGTCATTTTTCCGATTTCCACTATTTAACAACGCTCAATTAGGAATAAGTTTACACGAGAAAACAATGTTTTCAATGATTTTGCAATGTTGTCACAGTAAATCAAAGTCAAGGAAGAGTATACTGATTTTGGTAATTTTGCAAAATCTCTCATTTATAAGCAATTAAATGAGAAAAATTAGCTAGTCTAAAAAAGTTTCTATCTGAAATTGTTTCTGCAAAAAAACAAAAACTTAAGGTAAAAATCATCATTCAATGTCAAAAACTATAATGAGAAGCCTGATGAGTTGAGCAGATAAGCGTACTTGTAGATTTTATCCTGCTGATCATTCTTTTTTTTATTAAAAGGTTAAACTTGTCTACTTTCAACAAAATTACATAAATGGGTAAAAATCAACATTCAATGAAATTAACTCCTATCAAGAGTTGATTCACGATTTCAGGTTGCACTTTGTAAATACAGCTGTTTTACAAGCCACGCCTCTTTTGGGGAGATATATAATATTCATAGATATTTTGTTTTGTTTACGTACTGGTTCCCAGATATGATCTCTGTTTCATCTCATAGAGATATAACTTGGGAATGTTACAAGTATAAAAACACATGGTAGCGGCGAAAATTGAATTCTGAGGAAGACCCAAAGTGAAGGTAGGAGAAGTACAGAATTTCAGTATAAGTTTAACCTCTTAGAAGTTCGGTGCATATATATGTTGAAAATATGCCGCACAGCCCTATGTTTTGACCTTTGAATAAAATAGAAGTGCATATCAACTTTCCCTTCTAGGATATAATTTTTTACGAAACTTCATAGTAAAAGTGGCACAGTTTTAGCCGCAAGGGGAGTTCCTATGGGAAATTGCAGTGTTTATATTTACAGAAGTGCAACCTTCATTCATGTTTGCCTTGTTCGAAGTTCTTTATGATACTTTTGCATAATTAGTTTCTGTCTTTCTTCTTTACTTTCAGCAAAAAAAAAACACAAATATGGGTTTAAATTGGAATTCTAGTGCAATAACTCCTATGAGCAGCCAACTGACAATTATTACCATGTTGATTTATTGCAGATATTGTCATGCTGATCATTTTTGTTATCAACATATTTTTCTATCTACTAATGCTTCTGCACAAGAACACAAAATTATGGGTGAACATTGTCATTCAAGGTTAATAACTTCTTTAATGAGTTGACAAACAATTTTAGAGATCTGCACTTATTTGTAGATTTTCATGTTCTGCTTTAAAATGTTGTTATCAATAGTATTTCATTATCTACTATAGTTTTGGTAAAAATAACCATTTAAAGACAATTACTCCGACAGGCAGTAAGCCGACTATTTCAATCCTGGACTCATTTTTAGAAATTGTCCTTCTGATCATTTTTGTTGTTCATAGTTTTTCTTAATCTATAAAAAAAATTGAGATATTATAGCCAGAAATGCAAAAAAAAAAAGGTAAACATCTTCATTTGAAGGCAATAACCCATGTAAGTTTTTTTTTTTAATATCTCACATTTTTGTCAAAATGGACAGTAGTTAATTTTGATATTCTAAACATGCATGCACCTGCCCAGTTTTCTCTTTTCATAACAGTTTTCAAGATACGAGACAATATTTTCAATTACGATTTTAAGCCTTGGCAATCTAGTTTTGAGGCATGTGCTCACCAGACACATTTTCAAAACTAGATTTTAAACTTAATACCAGTTTTGGCCAAGTTTGGTTCCAATTGGCCCAGTAGATTCAAAAAAAGAAAAGTTTTGTAAAGCAGACAAAGATGAATCTGGTCCTTTTATTATCATAATAAACATCTGTTTTCAGTTTCAAGTTGATCTGACCACAACTTTTTTGGAAACTACCTTTCACCACAAGTATATCCTAGATGGACGGACAGAGAAAGGAACAGTTGACATGTATCCAAAAACATAAAATCCTTCCTTTATCATAGGCAGGGTATAAAAATTGTTTTCTCAGACAATACATCACTTACAGTTTATCAGAAGTATTAGACTATCATTACATCAATTCATAAATTTAATAGTTAATACTGTTATAATTGTTTATTAAAAAATGGAGATAAATATCTAAAATCGTGTAGAAAGAAAAGTTTAGATTGGATGAGAATGACCTGTCTACTTGTCTTACAATTACAACCTCCATACAAATTATGGTTAACTGAGCTGAAAGTGGGAGCTGGACCCAAAAAATACAAATTTTAACTCTGAGGCCTTTAAAAGTAAAGAAATACCAAAGGTGTGCCTGTCATGACTTGAGTCATAAGTGAGAGAACACGTGATATGAATTTTTACATGTGTGTCATGGTCTCAAGTGTACGCAACCCATATTCCTTCTTCAGCTCATCTATGGGCCATTGAAAGAATAAACTAATCTTTTTAAAATGATATAACTATTTAATATTATGCTTTGAATATACACAAAATGATAAAGTCTTTCACAGAGTCAAAAGACTATATGGTTGACTGCTGGTTCACAGTAAACTTACCAAAAATGGACAGGTCAGTATAAAATAAATTAAAAAAGCAGAGGTCATGGGAAGTATACTGTAAATTCATATATTATTGAATGCATTTATTATTGCAATTTTTGAAGAATTCACAAAAATGGGAGATTAATTATTGCGATTTCAGGAAAATCTGCATTAAGCTATATGTATCAAATATCAGAAAGAGAGTCTTTATAATTATTGCGATACTCACTCAGTCACATTATTCGCAATGATAGAAACCTTGCAATAAGTTTTGAATTTGCAGTATTAAAACTCTACAATAGATATCATTAGTCTGTCAAAGACATTACACTGGTTTTCACATTAATTGTATACATCTGTAAGCTCATTCCCTAATTTAAACTTTTCCAGATTGAAATATAAAAAAACTGTTCTGAATGTTTACTTGTAAAATGAACAGAAATTCAAAGAAAGTGCAATACACAGGTGTTTCTTGAAAGATAGAATAGTTAAAAGGATAATACCAAACCAATCACTGCTGACATCGGCACATTACAATCCATGTTGTGTAAGTGAGAGGACATATGAAATAAGTAAAAAATTGTACATGTTTAAAAGCAAGGTTTCTCATGAAACTGGTTTCTGAGCAGTAAAGAACACACTACTGTATTCATATCGCAGCATAGATTTAGGATTCTGTGTATAGGTAGATCTCACATCTTTTTCCTCTCTCTGAAAAGTAGAAAAACAAAAAATTTAGATCTTATTAAATAACAAGAGTGCACATGCTGAAATGTCTCGCCTTCTTTACTAATCATTGATATCATGTTGATAGTCCTAAATATAAAGCTTTATTACAACTGTCACATAAACTTAACATTAACCAAGTAAACTAAACATTGACCAATGAACCATGAAAATGAGGTCAAGGTCAGATGAACCATGCTAGGCAGGCATGTACAGCTAACAATTCTTCCATACAACAAATATAGTTGACCTATTGCTTATAGTTTAAGAAAAACAGACCAAAACACAAAAACTTAACACTGAGCAATGAACCTTGAAAATTAGGTCAAGGTCAATAAAATTTGCCAGACTGACATGAACATCGTAAAATATTTCCATACACCAAATATAGTGGCCCTATTGCATACAGTATTAGAAAAAAAGACCAAAACTCAAAAACTTAACTTTGACCACTGAACCATGAAAATGAGGTCAGGGTCAGATGACACCTGCCAGCTAGACATGTACACCTTACAATCATTCCATACACCAAATATAGTAGACCTTTTGCATACAGTATAAGAAAAACAGACCAAAACACAAAAACTTAACTATAACCACTGAACCATGAAAATGAGGTCAAGGTCAGATGACACCTGCCAGCTAGACATGTACACCTTACAGTCCTTCCATACACCGAATATACTAGACCAGGGTTCTCCCCAGGGCCTTAAAGGACCACGGGCCCACATGTATAATTTTTTACCATGGTGGTATCGTTCTTACCGCGATGTATTATATTTCTCCGTGGTGCTAAAATTTTTAGTTAAAAAATCGAAAATCGGTAAAGTTTTAAACGACTTGTTAAATCTTTTCCGTGCGGTATAAAATTCCAGGTGAAATTTGACCAGTTCAAACCAGTTCAGATTGTTTACACCACGTGATCGATTTACCTTTATGAGGTTAACATTTGTTGATTGGATTTAATTGATGTAATTAACACTTGTAAAATGATTCTTTTGTGTTTTATTAACTTTTAATTAAGAGATCATAACTTTATGATCGTAGATAACTATTTTATGGCTTCACTCACCACCTGACAAGTCGGCAAATACTTTGTACACAAACCGTGTTGACCAGATAGTTGTACACACGACGGTACACATTTTGTACAATCTGCAATCTATTTTATTTTATAAATAAAATGCATGACTGTACCTTCAAACTGGATATCTATATCCATATGATAATTAATGAATAACAGAAGTGATTTGCAAATTTTATCCATAAGCACATGTTAAATTTATTTATATCTACTTCCTGTCATCTAGGCGGGAAAATAGGGAGACTTTGTTGTTGACATTGAATAGGGTTACTTATAGATCTATAGAACTAAGATAAATTTATAGATTTAGGAATTCTTTTTAAATGGATCATGACAAATAAAGATTTAGATTTCAGTGCAGTATTAAGTCTGTATCTATGTTTGATTATCACTAAAGACAAGAAAAGTTAATATTTACATGAAATCTATGGCAAAATGTTTTGAAATTTATGAAAAATTTCTTTTTATTAAAATTTAAGATAGAAACTGGTTCAAATAATAAAACCATATTTGTTCTTGTTAATTTTATATCTCCTTATGACAGGAATCCTTTCACAATACAACATCTTTCATTCTAGAAATAAGAAAGTTTTTTAAATTAAACATTTTTGTTCTCTTTTGAATGATATTTTATTCTTATTGATCATTGATTTTATAAAAGATTTAACAACTTTAAATTTAGATGAATATTTTGTAATGTATCATGTTTTATTTATTTTTAAAAAATATTAAAGTATACATGTCAAACTGTTTATTGATTTACTTCTTTTTTACCAATAATTTTCAATGTCTACATAACACAGTACCACAGCATTAAAACAAAACAGGAGACATAAAAACTACAGTTACTAGAAATATAGCTAAGCGACGCGACGCAACTGATTGCATGAATCATTTCACCAAGCAGTCCACACGCGTTACCCTGGTGCTATCCAAAAATCCTGGGGAGAACACTGCTAGACCTATTGCTTATAGTATCTGAGATATGGACTTGACCACCAAAACTTAACCTTGTTCACTGATTCATGAAATGAGGTCGAGGTCAAGTGAAAACTATCTGACGAGCATGAGGACCTTGCAAGGTACGCACATACCAAATATAGTTATCCTATTACTTATAATAAGAGAGAATTTAACATTACAAAAAATCTTAACTTTTTTTTCAAGTAGTCACTGAACCATGAAAATGAGGTCAAGGACATTGGACATGTGACTGACGGAAACTTCGTAACATGAGGCATCCATATCTTCCACCCTCTAAAATATAAAGCTTTTAAGAAGTTAGCTAACGCTGCCGCCGCCGCTGTAGCCGCCAGATCACTATCCCTATGTCGAGCATTCTGCGACAAAAGTCGCAGGCTCGACAAAAAATCTGTCATTTTTCTTCCTTATGTTGAAGTTACAATTAAAATTATAACAGCATTAAAAGTTTCTGATCCATTTCCATTTCTTTCTGTGACTTGGTTTTGTCAAATGTTATCAATTTGTAGCGGCAGCGAAAAGATTGTATTTCAAGATGTGTTTAAAGTTTTGAATAACAGAAGAATGTATGAAATTTATTCTGCAATGTCTTTGTGAATCTGGCTGTAATTACTTGCTTATGAAAGTGTTTTGAGTTAATGTCCGAATTGTTTAATACAGATGGACAGACAGACAGGCAGAAATAGGTATACCATAGTACATCCTGTTTTTAAAGATGGGAGTATCAAAAAGAATTAAAAAGATAAGTCAGAATTAATTATTTCCTATAGCAATGTTTTTTTCATCCTATAGAGAAAATACTGCCATAACGTTTAAGTTTCATAAAATATATTTTTGGAAAAAAGAATGACATGAAGATCAATGTGGGGTATGAAATGAGGATTTTCATTTTGTGTATTTGACATGACTATTTAAATAACTACACTACAGCTTGCATGTTATAACAATCTAAAATCTTGAGTGTAGAAATAATATTTCAAATCAACAAAAGAAGAATCTGTTCATCTTATTTCTGTATTTTTGTAACTTTTACACAACATATAAGACATTTCATCAGACTTACAGTTTTCCTTCAATTGTCTTCTCAGTTTTCAAATTTCTAACAATCAGATTTAAAGCTATTACATTAAAATGAATCAGGGTGGAAAAAAAGGGACTTCCACCCCAACACCCTCCAAAACAACCAACATACTTCCGTTGGTAATTTTGCATACATCAAATGAAACTATAACTTTCATTCACTTACAACTCATACTATAATATAATGTGTCCTCCAACATTTATTTAAATGAAATAGACCTTATATTACTGTACCTGTATGACAAATCCGACTTGTTTCACAACTTTCTTTAATTCTTCATATGACAGTTCTATAGAAACTTCATTTGGAATGTCCGAATAATGGTATAATAACGGACCTACAGAGAACATACAATATTGATTAAAATAAACTGTTTTTAAATATACCAAAGAGTGGAGCCATTCTACTGAATATTTTTTAAAAAATAAATGAAAATTCATATAAACATATTCAAAAGATCAACATTTCTTTTGCTACACATCATATTATCAGGATTATAATATACTGTGGCATATGGTGATTAGAAAGAACTCATATCTTTCTAGAACCTGTTTGTACAGAGATAAAGTTAATTTCAGCATATAATTGTTTATGTTGTTTCCTTGGTCATGGTATTATGTCTGTCTGATAAACCAGAATATTTACTGGATATATACAAAGTGTATGATTGTTATCTAGGAAAGCTGTCGGTCTAGCTTACTTGAAATCTGTGTATCGGCTTGTCATGCACATTCTTTGTTTTACTGTCCGCATGTGTTAAATAAACCCCCTTCATTTTTACATCTTTTTGATAATTTTGTAAAATGGTATGAATCACATCTGAAACTTTGAAAATACTTTATAAATAAGATGTGGTATGAGTGCCAATGAGACAAGTCTCTATCAAAGTCACAATGTATAAAAAGTTAACAATTATAAGTCAAAATTTGTTCCCCTCAAACTAACCCAATCACAACACAACTTAGAACAATCATTGACAGTGTCAATGCCAGAAACAGCATGCATAACTCTTGCCTTCACAAATTTGATGAGGCAAGAAAAACTGTCTACTTGTTTATACAAAAAAGAAGTAAATCTTTCCAAATTTTCCTTAAATATCAGGCCAACAAATTATGTTTTCTGTCTTCTGGACTGGTTATAATCCAAACATTGGTAAGACTGAGGATATTTTGTTGAAAATTTTGTCTGATAAACATTTTTTTCAAGGAATGAAAAAATCTAAACATAATTGGGTTTAATAAGGAAAGGTATTGAACAATAACAATTGAATAGTGACCCTTGTATGGATAATTAAAATGTCTGTTATGATAGTGTTGTATTTCAGCATTTTAAAACTGTTTAAATTAATCCAGTATCCTCCAGGTTTCAATATACTGTAAATAGTTTCTATATAGGATATACATAACATACATGTGTAACATGTTTAACACATTGGGGCATGCTTGTTTTATCTTACCTAGATTAATCCAGTATCCTCCAGGTTTCAAAATATTGTAAATAGTCTCTATATAGGATATAATACAGTGGGCTGTGTCTATAAAGAATACAGTAGCAACACAATCGAAGGTGTCTGTAAATAAAAAACAAGATAAATATAATTTGCAATTGTATCCAGCATACATCGTAATCATGATGTGTCCTAAAGTTATAGACCTAGCCATTTTAAGTGTTACTGTTATTTGTGGTGAGAATGTCTGGCAGTTTATGACAATATTTGTGTTAAATTTCTTTGTTATATATGTTGATTTTTTCTTCAAACTATGTTCTTCAATGCAAAGAGGTAGAGAAATTGATATCTAGTATTTAGAATTTAGCTCCAGCTGGTGCTTGGGCCCATCTTGAACTTGAAATGATGCATGAGCTTCAACTATAATTTAAGGCCTGGTTGTGACATTGAGACCAAGAACAGCAATACAATAGCTGGTTTTGTTAAATTCCTGTAGGGATGTAGTGTTATGAAATATCCTTTCTTTTCAATTATATTGTTCTCAATTAAATCTTGTTTAGATAATTTTGTTTTCTATTTTCATTAAGTGTTTGATACTTTTCATTATAAAAGTAAGTTTAAATGATAAAAATTGTACCTGTAGCAATCTTGTCACCCAAAAGGCATGAATATGCATCCACAGCTTTGAAATATTGTGTTAATTTTTATCATAGAAATAGAAGCAATATTATATCTATCATTCATTTGCAAAACACCAATAGTTTTTGTTCGTAACACTGGCAATGTATTATGTCTCTAACATCATTGCAAACCCAGACTTAAACATTAACAAAAGGAAAAGGTATGATAAAGCCACATTTTTGGCCCCTTGAATTTTCACACAAAACACAAATTACAAAGTTACAAAATATCCTTCTGATGTTAACATGTCTGTCAGAAATCAGTATTTATAATTTTGAATTTTGTCTAACACATCTGCTTTAAAACTCTTGAATTTAATGCAAAACTGTAAAAAACATAAAACAGAGCCTCATTTTGAGGTTTTGTAATAAATATTTGAATATATATATACATGAAATATATGAGCCAAAGCCTTATCAAAATAATTCTATTTTGCTATATACGCTATAAGATATCTTATACAAAAATAACAATGTGGGTAAAATAACTCCAATGGTAAAATAGTGGTTTGCTTTTATATTATCAATAAACAGCTGCTCCATGAGCGCATGATACGCCCATCGTCTTGTGTGTGAATTTTTATGCAATATTGAATAAGCATAAATAGTTTCCTACATACGGCGTGACATGCGAAAAACCCCCTTTTTTTTAACAAAAAACTCAATATCTCTAAAATAAAATTTTGAATCAAAACCAAAAAGTATACAGATCTTTAGATTAATATAACTAAGAAGTGTGTAAAATTTTAAGCAATAATCATAAATCGTTTTTGAGATACGGTGCGACATGTGAAAACCCCCCCTTTTAAAAAAAAAAAAAATCAATATCTCAAAAATAAAATTTTGAATCAAAACCAAAAAGTATACAGATCTTTAGATTAATATAACTAAGAAGTGTGTAAAATTAATAATCATAAATCGTTTTTGAGATACGGCGCGACATGTGAAAAACCCCTCCCCCTTTTTTTACAAAATACTCAATAACTCAAAAATAAAATTTTGAATCATCACCAAAAAGTATACAGATCTTAAGGTTAATATAACTAAGAAGTGTGTAAAGTTTTAAGCAATAATCATAAACTGTTTTTGAGATACGGCGCGACATGTGAAAAACCCCTCCCCCTTTTTTAACAAAATACTCAATATCTCTAAAATGAAATTTTGAATCATCACAAAAAAGTATACAGATCTTAAGATTAATATCACTAAGAAGTGTGTAAAGTTTTAAGCAATAATCATAAATTTTTTTTGAGATACGGCGCTACATGTGAAAAAAAACACACACCTGTTTTAGTTACTAAGTCCCGTAACTCAAAAAGTTTTAATCTTATTTTCACCAAAAAGTATGCAGATCGTTTGACCATCATAAGAAACAACTCTGTTAAGTTTCATGAAATTTGGATAAGTCATTCTCAAGTTACAGTGCAACATGTTTACGCCGGACAGACAGACAGACGGACAGACAGACAGATGCCGGACATTTGTATACCATAATACGTCCCGTCAAAAATTTGACGGGCGTATAAAAATGAGTAAAGAGGCCATTTTTAGGTCAAATATATCAATTTCAATATGACATTTTTGCAATAAAGTGTCCAGATGATATCATTCTATTCATTTGCTATAAAATTATCATTTTTTTGTAAGGATTGAACATGTTTACTATTTTAGCAATTTCAGGGGCCCAATTATGGCTCTTATCATACCTCTGCCATTCGTGAAATATTGGAATAAAAAAGTTTAACCATAATTTTTGGCTGAATTAATGGATGCATTTAAAGGGTCATCCACTTACAAACTGGCACAATTATGGCTCTTATCATACCTCTGCCATTCATGAACGATTGGAAATTCAAAATTTAACCATTTTTTTTTTTTGCTGAATTAATGGATGCATTTAAAGGGTCATCCACTTACAAACTGCATAACTCAAGGGTCTTTCAGTCTACTTTACTTGTGCTTCTTCTATAAAATTCAGAGAAAACAATGTATAGCAATATAACATCTGATTGTAATTTTGAAAAAATCAGCAAGCTGTTGATCAAATCTTATTTAAGGGTATCCAGGTCAACTACTGCATTACATCATCAATGTAAGTATTTGTATTTTTATGAAAGTCAGTTTTTTTATGGAAAAATAAATTATAGAAACTGAAACAGAATTTGAATGAAAGAAGAGGAGCAGTATGCACTCTTTTACACAGGTAAACAAATATTGGACCAAAATACTATTCTTTCTAATTCTGATTTGATTAAAACTTTCCCAATTAGTTTTAAATCAATGTTTGGTTCCTTTTAATTACTTATTTCCCTGATCAAAATTCAATTATGACATCAAATTTGTTTGCTCTCTTCTTCTTTTGCTTTTATGATATAACAAAAAAGTGACCATTCCTGAAGACCTCACATTGAACTAACAATATCTTTTTGCATTTTTTTTATGGATGGTTGTTTGACGTCCAGTGTTAAGTTAAGTGCATAATCAGGATGAGAACATGTTAATGTGATATGAATATGAACCCTGCTTTGTACTAGTACAACATACTTAGCCCTATTTTAACATGCTAGTTCAACAAGGTACAGAAAGACATATTGTATAAAACGAGGCATTTGAAGATCTAAATTGATCTGAAAACCCTTCAATCATTAATTTATTTTATTCAGTAAATTTTCAGACATATCTGCAGCGGAAAATTAAATTTTGTTCAGACATTTTGTTTGGGACCAATTTAAAAGACTTAATATGTTTCAGATTTGAGTACATGTTTCTAAAAAAAATCTTTATCAGGTAAGCTACAGATCAAATATTTAGGAAATTATATACTGTAACTTCAGAAATTATTGCATGCAAATAATTTATTATTGGGAATCACTGATGAATGGTAAAAATGCGCGATTTAATTAATGCGATCGCAAAATTGCATCTGATAAAAAAATCACTACTGAAATTATGAATGCAAGATTTTATTATTGTGAACCTGATATAGTCTCATTTTTCGCATTTAATATAAAAACATCACAATAATTTCTGAATTTAGAAAAACATTAAACATTCTGAAGCATTTACACTAAAGAGGATCTTAACAGAACAGTTAATATTGTCAAAGTTAAACTTAGTTTAAACCTTAACATTGTATCATATAAAATCATGTCAGGACATGATTTGTTGTTTTTTTTCATATATTTTAATATAAAAATTTGCCAAATAAAACATTCTATTAGTATTTTGGAATCTGTGCCACTTGAACTATTGAACAATCACTTTTGGATTGTGCAATCACACATTTTCTCTTTTGATGCTGAAAAATAGTCATGATAGTGATTAGGTGCATTAGTATTGAATTGTATCAAAATGAGTCAAAAAGTATAACAAAAATACGGAACTCCAAGGTTAATTCTAAAAGGGAGAAGTCCATAAAAAATGATAAAATCAAAAATTAAGCCTATGAACCATCAGAACAAATGGATAACAACTGTCATATTCCTGACTTGATTTTGCAAAATGTCTGAAGAATTCTGAAGCTAATATGAGGAAAATATCTGAAAACAGCCAAACTTCTACCAAGAATTATCTTTTTGCAGTTTATTTTGCATTGATGGAATGATTGATTGATGTATAACGTCATATCAGCACAAGATAACAAGTTTGCATTTCAATCAAATGACTGTTTCAGATTTAGATACATGTATTCACTTGAGATACAAACCTGGATCAGTGTATATTTCCAGGAAGTCACCAGCTGCCATGGAGAAGTTAGAGTTAGGAGGAAGTTCTGCAGGATTTACATCAGGGAATTTACAGCTAGCTGTCTGGTCCTCGGTGTAAGTATTGTTGGTCCATTGATGTATCCATGGATACAGGGTAAACGATTTCACAGCATTACATCTACAAGACAAATCATAAATTTTAGAGAATCATGCAATAATCATGATAATGTAGATTTTGAGCTAGACAAATTATCTAATGTTCCAAATATTTAAGCACCATGTAAAACTATAGGGCAATGTTAAAATATTCAGGACAAGAATATGTTACTGATTTATAACAAGGAAATGTGTCCAAAGAATAACATACCAACTCGCACTATTCATGTTAAGTGAATCTTGAAATCTGAGTCAAAACTGCAAATTGTCAATGCATATATTATTTTTCAAAGGTCACATCATAATGAACATGTGTACTAGTTTTCAAGTTAATGTGTACCTGATACAAGGAGGCTTATGGACAGAAGATCATACAAGAAAATAGAAAGACAGACACAGAGACCAGAAAATATAATATTCTCTACTGTTGTAGATGAATGTTTTATACTAGACAGACATGCAGTTTTACATTTTTAACATTCTACGCCAGAGATTAAACAGTCAGCATGAAGAAAAGTCATCTTATTATAATACACTATTCTTTGATAATCAAAATTCTCTTTTTTTTTGGCATGCAGTTAAAATTTATTATTTTTGAGAAAATAATCTCATAGCCTTATAGTCTATACAGCTGTTGTCAAGTCAATCAATCATATGTTCATGCTAGTAGGCAACACATAATGCAATTGTTGTCTGCATCATCAAAGTGTGTTAAAAAGGAGAAATAGCAGTACAATTCAAAGGGGATTTATCTGTTGGAAGGCAAGCTGATTTATCTCGCTTCCCTAGAATTAATGAATGGTTGTCCCTTTATCAGAATTATAAATGTGTATTTTATGTAAAAGATCAGTAAAGAGGTTTTGATAAATAATCCTTACTTGTTTAGTATAAAATTTGATGCCATCAACATAAAGAGACTCCATTCATTTCCCTGACAACTGTATCCCTGTTTAGCTATCTCATATGCCAGCCTTCCCAAACCAGCTCCAGGAACAAGTACAGAAATTTTAGAAGGATCACTGAAATACAGAAAATGCAAATACTTATAATACAAGTCATGTTTATTTACTTGAAGTTAAATATTTAACTGTAAAAGTAAAAAGTAAATTTGTAACATTTTAATTTTCTTTTCAAGGTGTGATTAATCTAACCTAAAACTTCTTCAAAAATTAACTTATGTCCAGTATTTTTTTTATAACCTCTTAAATTTTTCAGTTTTTTGAGGTCATAACTTGCCTTAAAATGCCTTTAAAATTCTGTTCTTGTTTGCTTATATATTTTTTCTTGCTAGTTCAACCTTTTATCTCAAGAACTAAACAAACAAATCTACTGCATACAATTGTTAGGTTAGTGTGAAAGGCCTTTAAAACAATGAGCACTATTTTAAAGAACAGACATGAATAGTAAAGATAACTATTAATGAGGAACAATTGAACACTCCATTTAAGCATTTCAGTCCAGAGAAGTTCAAGAAAAGAGGAAAATATTACTAATTTACTTTATAGAAGAAAGAAACAATCTGTATGTCTAAGGTATATAACGCTACCTTTAATATAATTTACAAAATGTACCTATACCAGTAAATTAAAAATATACTAGTATAAGTATGACCAATGCCTGTAGACCAAAAGTTTACCACAGAAATTTAATTTTTCTATGAAACTTGTCTAACACATCTAATTTCTCTGCCCTAGTGTCATCAGATAGAAAGTATAATCCCCTGAACCTTATAATTTATGGTTTTACACTTTATTGTCCGTTTTTATCAAAGAAAAACATTTAAAGTTGGCAATTGGCATTAATTTCTGAGATAGATAATACATGTACATGTGTCATATTGATATGTTAATTCTGTTATTTTTAAAATAAAAGTAGCCTTTAAAACACTCTAAAATTGTCAAAATTTCTATGACAACTGGAAAATAACTGCCCTGTCTTCTGTCTTGCATGTTGTCTTTCAAACAAATCCCCTCTTCATTCTAAAAAAAAATATTCTTTTTATCCTTACCATGCTTACCATTTTGACTTTGGAAATTTTTCACAAATCTCCATGACAATAGGAAGATAACATGCTTCTCTCTCACTCTGACCATCTGCACTCCAGTCTCGTACAAACTGTTTTATTGTTGTTCTAACTTTGTCCATATCAAACTGTGTAGGTGGAACCTCTTTTTCATCTTCAGTTGGCTGTCAGAATAATACACAAGCAAATCAATTGAACATGCTAAATAGACCAATTTATAACTATTTATCTTTTTGCAAAATGTTACTACTTCTTTCAAAATATTTCAAAAAGCAAATTAAACATGAAATAAGCTTAAGGAATTGGATTGTTGGCTTTGTTCACATCTGAAATTAATGGATGAATAGACAAAAAAAAAAATATGCAATGAATTGCTATAGTATCAGCCATACAATTTCAAAATATCCCATAATAGAATTAAATATGAATGAAAGACATTGCATTTATTCTGAAAAATTTTACTCATGCCAAGTATTTCTTTATTTGAAACAAAGATAAATTCTGCACACTTTTTTGAAAAGTGCAAATTTAACAAAGACTAATAGGGGAAAAACAATGGTGGTATTACACCTATTATGGGAAGCTGCACATGCACCTTTGACCTTGTATGTACTCTCATTTGTTAAAATTTCATGCTATTTAAGTGAAATATTGCAAAAATGAAATATTCTGAGTTGATTGAGTCTCAAAAACACATTTTAAGAGAAAATTGTCTAGAAATAGGAATCTACCATGAACATTAGACAGAGCAAGCCATACTCAGTGTTTTGGGGAGCTTTTTCTGACTTTTTCTCATTATTTTTTATATTTTGCTATAATAGAAAACTTTTTCCTAATTAGTACTTTAATAAATATACAGTTACAAGTAAATGAAATTACTTTTTGAAGCAGTAACAACAAATCATTCACTAAAAGGGAAGCATTTTATGTCCCTCTCTGGAGAGTGGCATAAATTTAAGTTTTACATAAGGACTTATTGAAACCTCCATGGTGCCAGTAAACTTTTATATGGATAGTTCATTCAGCTTGAATATTTCAATTACTCATTTATTTTCACATTTCTTGCATAGATGTGTGAAAGTTACCCAAAAATTTTAATATTTTTGCCTAAAAAGTTGAAATTTTGAGGAAAATGAGAGGTATAAATGGACCAAAAGGGACCTTATACTGAAGACAAAGAGGTCCATAAGTGGTATTAATCATCCTAGAGTCATCTTTTGTATCATATTCAACTGTTTGTAGGCAGATGAGATAAATATTTGATCCTTTATTGGTCCACACTCTATTCTATCATGATGCGGCTTGGTTTGGATTTTTTTCGAAGAAAGTTTGCTCGAATTGCTGTAGATGTCGTCTTACATTATATTAGATTTTTCTCAAACTATTGAACTGATTATGACAAAACTTGACAGTAATGCTTGAAATAACCAGTATTACAAATGAAAAAAATCACATTCAGTTTATTCAACAAAAAAGTCTTCTTAAGGTATAATACCACCAAATCATAGTATATCACATCCGGTTGCATACGAAAAGGGTCGAAAAAAATATTCCCTTGAATTTGACAGTTGTGTGAAATTAATCATACATTTCATTGCAGTAAAAAATTTCTGAGTCATAAACATATATCTTGGGTGTTTCAAAGCACCATTCTCTTTTTATTTGGTTTTTCTATAAAATATTTTGGAAACTTGAGGTTACATGGTTACTAAAACCTGCAAACAGGAAAGAAAGGGGTGGTAATTTGATTGGCTAACTTCCAGTGATGGTTATTATCTTATATGCAATGAAATATTATGTGAAATTTTGTCTGTAGTACTGGACAGGATAAAACTTTACTCATGCCCAAATAGGAGAAACACAATGGTGGTATTACACCTTTAGGTTCCACTTAGTGAAAAATGCCAGTTGAAAAAACATGATTGGTAGTGTCAAAATTTTCGAACAAAAACCCAGTGCCAGTTTACATGACAGTGACTATATAAGAATTATCTTTAAATACCATAAGTTTCATGGAAAGGTGGGTTCAGGATTTGAGGTTATTAGGGATGCAAGCCTATCACTTTCACTATAAAGCGTAGCAATGCAAAATATTTTTGACATGTTTTATGATAAAAATGATATTTTTCTAACTTTTCCTTTGATACCACATCGTAAGTTTTATAGGTTATGTCATGTTAACTAGTACTGTTTTGGGAAATAAGATTTTAATCATAAATATCTAAACAAGACATGTTGATTTTTTTCTTTAAATGATTGACATAAAAAGTGCGAAAACAAGATTAAAATCCACCTGAAACATGTGAAATATACAGAAAAAAAATGAACATTGGAATTTTGAGTCCTCAATGCTCTTCAACTCCATATTTTAATTGCCCTTTTTAACTTTTTTGATTCAAGCATCACTGATAAATCTTTTGTAAATGAAATGCACTTCTGGCGTACAAATATCTTCATGTATGATGCGATTATTTATTGTGAAAAATATCACAAATATCTCAGAACTACATGTACATGTATATTACTTTGTACCTCATGAGTTTTATTCTCAAACATGTACTCAGCATCTTTGATCACTAATTGAATAATTTCATAGTTATGGTCAACACAGTTCTGGATTAAAGTTAGATTGTCAAGGTAACCAGGCAACATCTTTTTATGACCATCAGACAAACTCTGGAAAGACTCCACTGCATTTTTTACTCTTTTTGATGAATGTATTCTGAAATGTAAACAAAAGCTCAGATGAATTGATTTTCAAGGAATATGCTGAATTCATATCATTACCATCATGACCATCATGTCAATTACCCGATTTCCCAATTTTTTTAACCTATTTACATATTTTTGGAAAACTGGATCGCTGCATCCTTGAAATAAAAAGGGTCATTGTGAACACTTGAAATTGAACAGGCATCTTGATTTCTTAGGCTAAAAATATAATCAGTCAAGGGTCTAACTTAAATACGTTATTAGAGAAAAATAACATACATGTCGTTATTGTGGCTAAAATATAAAAAAACTGTGATAACATATGTATGTTACATGTTTCGAAGGGACAATATACAACCTTTATTTTGTTTAATTTTTCACAAGTTCTATTGATATTATAATTTTCTTTATGTATACTAAACTTTGCAAAGATATAACAGTTCATAGTTTACCAATCATACATAGTACACGGTAACACCTATGTTATTACAGAAAATATATTCCTGCAATAACCAAAGGGTGTTATTACAGCTTCTCTACATCTCTTTAAAGCCTTTGCTCTGACATCTATCACAATCTATTTCAATTCATTGTAAGAAATGATGATCATAGCTTGTAATGAGGCACTGCGCAAGATTCCAAGTAATTCCCAAGTGTCTCATTTACTCTTATATAATAAGTTACATGCCTGTAATAACTAAGCCTTGTTATTACAGCTTAGTTTTCCCTTGAAGGCCTTGTCTCATTGATTTACCATGGTTGATGAAAATTGTATTAATGGAATTAGAAAATAAGGTAAAATAATAAGCTACTGCGCAAAGTTTCAAGAATTCCCAAGTGCCCACTAAAGATAAAATATTCATGATATATTTAACTGATAACAAACATATGTTACTATAGATTAAGGAAAAAAGAGTAGACAACTCATGAAAGTGTCTGTTATAACACATGCATGTTATTTTTCTCTGATAACTTGTTTAAGTTACACCCTTGACTGATAATATTGTTTGCTTGCCAAATCCAGACTGACCTGAAAATATTGATGTGACTGAAAAGATTTTAACCTAAAAAATATGGCGCAGGGCTCTGAGGCTACTGGTCAACTGGGGCAAAAAAGAAGTGTTCCCGTCATATCTAGTTACTAGGGTGTTCACAACATTGATATTGATTTCAGTCACTCTTGACATCAGCAATTTTCCATTTTTCAAAAGTTGAGGAAATACACATGATACATGTAGCATATTTTTATTTACAAAGCAATTCAACATCTTAAAATCTAAAGACAATTTATTTCTTTAGAAACATGTTGAATAATTATCTTTGTACAAAAATGTAGATTGATTGTATGTCATTGTATGTTATTTCAAAGAACAACTTTTTATGCAACAAATCAAAGTACTATTTCCTTTCACTTTCGGCACTTGTCACTCTAGTGTACATCTTCACTACAATTTTCCCTAAAATACATTAATTAGTACATTAAAACGCAATTAAAAATTATCATACCATAATATCACCAATCTAACGATTTTCATAATTACATATTTTTCTTTATAATCAAAAACAATTTGTGAATTCTCAGTAAAATGGTTTCTGAGTCATTTATCTTAAGTAAATTTGTCAACACATAATGATTTTCGGTATTACATCTGTAGATGAGTGTGAAGCCTCTGACATTAATGATGACACCTAACAATCTTATGGGTACATTGAATACACATTGATCTGTTCACTATGCAAACTAAAAAATAAACTAGAGAAGCAAAAAATTTGATAATTAGAGACATGAGATCTAGAGAGGGAGGGAGGTTGGGATGTAAATTTGAAATGGAATGAAAACTGAGCAACACCAGAGTTGATATAAAATATTTCCTTTTTCCTCTGTATATGTAAAGAGCTTGCCATCTTTTTTGAAAGGTGCAACATCAGTTATCAAATCTTGTGCTTTTGACATAACTGAAAAGATATTTTGGTTTAGTTTTTGATGTTTCATATTGACCAGGTTTGTTTATAATAAGTATATCACAGATCATTTTTTCAATATATTTCCAAATATTCTGTGGGCACATTTTCATGGTTTTTTACAGTACTACTGTTTGTTTCAACTTTTCATATTTTACTGGAAATTTCTTCCTTTTTCTATGAGCATGATGAGCATGATAAGGATTGTTTTTCTTGTTTAAGAGCTTATACAATTTATCTGTTACCCAAGGTAAAAAAATGTAGTCTATGTTTGTGTGTGATCATTTTGTATGGTACATTTTTCTGTATAGATTTTAATAGGTCTATCTTAACCTTAACCCTTTTCAACCCTGTGTCAATTTCAACGAATACTACTCAGTCTAGATCATGGGTTTGCCTTACCAATTGGTGGTAAAGTTATCATTTTATTAACAAATTGGCATTGTAATTGGAGAGATGTATCCCAATCTTCTCAGATGATTGAGACAAGAATCATGAGAATATCCAAGTAAGAACTAGTATATATGGTAAGAGATCATTCAGATTATGCAGCTGCTTCACTCTTCTCAGATTAAGAGTTTGCTCTATCCTGGAATGGTTTGAACTGCCGTTGCTCAGCCTGTAGATAGTTAAAATCTGCTTATCATGCTTACCTTAGTCTCTGTTTAAAGGGATTAAGTGGATACTCATAGAGGCAATTGCCACATGGGTCCCCGTTTGGATCTATGCTCAACACACAATTTTTAAATTTATACTTATAAATCTGTGGTATGGCTTTGCTAAATATATTCTTTATTTTTTGCTGGCAGCAGAGGCTTTGTTTACAAACAAAGTGCTTGTGAGCACTGAAAGGGCAAATATTGCTTTCATTTTGCAATTTTGTGAATTTAAAATAAACCATTGAATTGTAATTAGCTAGAAAAAGTAAAGATTTGATTTTGAGTTATCTTCCTTTGTTCATGATTGCACATTGTAGTTGAGGATATTTTTATAACCGATTCATGACCATGCATATCAATAAAAAAAGTTTTCTTGACAAGAAGGATAATTCAAATAAATATCATATTGTAACTTGAATATCTTATTATAACATATCATTAATAAATTGCTTGACACTGACTGTGTCAGATAGGATCTAATTAAACACTCCTGCTTCATTTTATTTAGTTTTTAATTATCACACAGGTCTTCAATATTAGTGTTCTTATTATGTTAAAAGTTGCTCATACTCTTATTTTTAAGTGCTAATCTTTAAAATGAATTTCTTAATCTTTTAAATATCAAATTTTATCATGATATTTACCTAGATAATTCTAAGTTTTCTTAGTGCTTTTTCCAAATTTTTCTGTACCTGGATTTCATAAGAACTCGTAAGAACCAAATTTACTGAGAACCGATAGATATTACCCAAAAACTTTATTTTATACAGTATAAAATAAAATTGAGAATGGAAATGGGGAATATGTCAAAGAGATAACAACCCGACCAAAGAGCAGACAACAGCCGAAGGTCACCAACGGGTCTTGAAAGCAGCGAGAAAATTCAGCACCCGGAGGTGGTCCTCAGATGGCCCCTAAATAAAATTGTGTACTAGTTCAGTGAAATTGGATGTCACACTAAACTCCAAAACATATAAATGAACTCAAATTAAAAAACATACAAGACTAACAAAGGCCAGAGGCTGATCCTGACTTGGGACAGGCGCAAAAATGCGGCGGGGTTAAACATGTTTTGTGAGATCTCAACCCTCCCCCTATACCTCTAGCCAATGTAGAATAAAGAAACACATAGCAATACGCACAGTAAAACTCAGTTTAAAAGAAGTCAGAGTCTGATTTCAGAATAGGTAACAAAAGAAACTAAGCAAAATGACAATGATACATAAATTAACAAAGGTCTACTAGCAGTTACTGACATGCCAGCTCCAGACCTCAGTTAATCTGATTGAAAGTTTATATATGTCTTCATCATATGAAAATCAAGTATAATCCCTCCAGTTAGGGGTTCAGTATCATACCAACATAAAATATATGAGATTGAGAACATAACCTGTATCATGCCAACAACTGTTTTTAGAATAAATGTGTTTATTTCCGATGCAAAGACCCTATGAGTGAATCAATATTAATTCCAAAAAATGCCATCTTTTATGACCTGATAACAGTATCGTAACTATATCTCTTCTGAATAAGTCTTTTCAAAGGTTTGGTTAGCTTTTTAGGTGAATGACAACATTTTTGTGCTTTGTAAAGAATATTACCATTAAATATTGGATGTGAAATACCTGAACATATAAGATGTCTGCATGTTGATTTATATTTACAAATGATGTCATTGTACCGATGATAAAATTTAGTAAATGTTTTGACTAGTTTGTGATATCGAAAACCCTGGGGTAATAATTTTTCAGTAATACAGAGATTTCTTTCGTTGAAATCAAATACGTTGTTACATACACGAGAGAATCGAACAATATAAAAAAGAAGATGTGGCATGATTGCCAATGAGACAACTCTCCACAAGAGACCAAATGACACAGAAATTAACAACTATAGGTCACAGTACCGCCTTCAACAATGAGCAAAGCCTATACGGCACAGTCAGCTATAAAAGGCCCCGAAATGACAATGTAAAACAATTCAAACGAGAAAACTAACGGCCTAATTCATGTAACAAAAATGAACGAAAAACAGATATGTAACACATAAACAAACGACAACCACTGAATTACAGGCTTCTAACTTGGGACAGGCACATACATCAGTCAGGGGTACTACTTGTACAAGTAATTTTTATTTACTTGAAGAAGTAAATAAAATATACTTATATATAAGTTAATATGTAGGATACTTATACAAGTGTATTTAATTTACTTGTATAAGTAAATTATTTTTTGGCCTAGTTATGTCCCTTTATAGACATTCAGATTTTTTTACTTATAAATACATAATATAAATATTTATACAAGTTAAAAAGTCGTCCTATCTTCTTTTCTTGAATTCTTAGAACTTCTTTGCTCTACATAATTTTGAATTCTGTCCTTTGCAG